AACTAACCTGTCCTTTACTTAGTGCTGTAAACTCACATACTGCTTTACAGGAGGCACATTCCAAATGCTTGAAAGGGCTTATGAAATTCTAAAAGCTGTAATGCACATACAACTCTAGGTAAGACACAGCAATGCAACTTGATATGAAGCACAGAAATAACAAGCAGGATAAAACAGGAACCACTGCTAACAGAAAACTGGTCTCAAGGAGGCATCTGAAAGGAAAGCTAGGATAATGTTCTGATGGATTCAAGGCAAAAAACGTCCTGAGAAGATGAGATTACAAGAGCTGCAAAGGAGAGAAGAAACACCTATGTACAATTATCTAGGGCCCTTGAACAGGAAAACCAGGGATTAGCATCCTGTCAGTTCCAGTAGAAACCTCTCCTCTACTTCGGGATGAGCATCAAACAAGATTCCTGCTCTGGAGACTGTTCTGGTTCATGGGAAAACGCTTCAGCAACTTTTGCTTTGCTTTGATTATGATGATGCTCATTATAAACAAAGGTTTTTTAAACTAGGTTTTAAAATTCTGCATTGCTTAATGATACATTTTGACTGGAATCAGATATACTAAAGGATGCTCTGAAAAGACAGCAAGAGGTTGAAGGACTTCTAGAATTTCATCAATTAAAAACAGCAATCAAAAAATCTGCAAGTGGTCTGGTTACCAACAGACTGCTGCACACTACACTCACAGACTGCCATATAAAGACAAGGGCTCGGTACAACGGCACAGTATGACTCAGCAGTGGTTTTAGACTGGAAGGAACTCGGCCACAGAGCTTCCATTCCCAGGAGCTACCAGGTGAGCCTCCAGAGGACTAACATCATTGACAGCAGCACTGGGAGCAGGAGGTGGAGGGAGTTTACATCCAGAGACCAGCTAAAAGGAGTTGCAAGGTATGCAGGCACACTGACATCTGCCAAACTGATTTAATGAAAAAAAAAAAAAAAAGTCACTCTGCAGTTTTCTGCATTATTCTGTCTACTGTTTGCCTGGCAGCAGGTGTTTCATCATTCACTGGATGTAAAAAAGACACTGATTCTTGGATTAATCCAAATTAAACTGCTTGTGGCTGGCTTTTGGGAGAGGGTCACTTTGGGTACTTTGAGGGACACTTATTCTGCAAGTTTCACTTGAACACCACTTAATTTTTTTTTTTACCCCAGGTGAGATATCTCAACCTCACCACTTTCTGCAGAGGTCAGAGCACTGCATTATCCCTAAGCCACTGCGAGCTGTTTCTAATTACTGACACAGTAGGAACAAGAGACCCGTCAGACGAATCAGAAACAAATTCTGCGGAGACAGTGCACACAATGCTTTGAAATACTCTAGTATAGTTACAGGAGAGACTTGATTTTCTTACGGGAGCAGTACTTTCGAACTGCTGGTTTATTATCAAATGTATGCTAATAATTGGATATTTAGTAGTGAAATCCATTATTAAGGCTGGGGATAACCTATTCCTTCAAAACCAAGAGGAAATTAATACGCAATACAGGGTTATGCTGATCTGGGGCATGGGAGGGGTGAGGTGTGCAAGACAGTGCATTGCTTCCAGTCACAAAGTCAGCAGTAATGGTGGGCTCACTGTCCCCTTCACCTCTCCAATAAATCCACATCTGTCATTCCTACATCCAGTTGCATGTGATGCAACCACAGTTAGCCATCTAACTGAACTAAAGATTAAAAGACTGATTACCTTTGGAAGATGCAATTAACCATCACAAGGTTATTTGTTGCAGAGAGAAAAAAAATAAAGAGATCAAAGACCTGTCTTAAAATGAAGGCCACAACGTCTGTTGATTCCCAGTAGCTGGCATGGAAGAGATGCGGCAGGGCCACAGTTGGAAAGGCTGTCAGCACATCTGGACAATACAAGGCATAATCTATTCGTTTTGTTCCCCACCACTTTGCAGCAACTACAAAAAACCCAAACAAAATAGCATTACATTTCTATATGGTGTTTCTTAATAAATCTCTTGATGTCTTTATGTTTAAGCTAGATAACTGAAGGAAGTCTTTTGCTTTTTTAATCTTGACATTTAAAGTCTGTTAAAGGTATCTATCAAACACGAAAGTACTGTTTTCACTGATTGCATCATCATTTAAATGCCTGCAATCTAAACAGTTCTATTGGGTCCAAGTTTTGGGAAGCAGAAATCACCTCAGCATGATCACCATTGCTTCCTGGTCCATGGAAGATGCTCAGTGAAAGACTACTACTTTTATGATCGTGTTAGAGAAAGAATTGCACATTTCCCAAATCGTGAACAGAGTATTGATATATGACTACAGTCCATAACAGGACAATATAATGATTTATAGCACTTTGGGTAACAATTCTTATCTCTGTTCCTTCATGCCTGGAACATGATTCTAAACCCATGAGTATGAAACCTGTCATGACTATTTATAAGTGGCACCTTAATATAAAACTGTGATTTCACTTCTATTACTTAATCTACTTAAATACAAACAGAAGAGGAAGCTAAATTGTGTTATTTAATATCAGAGCAACTTAGGCTGTTCTCATTCTCCCCAAATTTCCAACCAGCTGATTTTCCTTTTCATAACAAAATATTCCACAGAAAGGATGCGGAGGGAGGAGCTGTTGCCTTATCAGACAGCACATGGCACCAGGCTTCACTCACTGTTGGTGAGGTATGCTGATGGCAAGCTTTCTGTTGACCCTGAGTTTTCACTGCTTGTGCTGGCCAAGCTCAACTTTCTTGTTTTGCCTTGTCGTTGATCAGATGCACTTGGAGATCCAGAACTCTCCTGAGAGAAAGGTATGTTCAAAGAGCTGTTCTCAAGGAACAGAGCACTGTGGTTGTGGAAAGCATCACCTGCAGGTTACAGAAATGAAAATAATAAAAACCCCAAAGCAATAGGATGAACAACACGTCTCTGAAACTAGTGTGCTTTTTATTATTTTTTTCTAATACAGAGCTAATGAGCGTTTTCCTGAATAGCATCAGACTTAATGACCACGCATGAAACTCCTTCAGAGTGAGGAGGACAGCATGAGACAGCATAACTAAATGGCAAAAGCACACCCTACTGCCATCAAAATGCAATGGCATACTTTCTGCACCCCCTTCCAAAAGATTCACTGAAATAAAAAAGGTTGTGCTTTTAAATTAAGTTTTCTGCTCTGAATTGCTCTGCTGAGAAAGACGTAAACTGACCCTAATCTAATTCTTCCTCCCCCATTGTAATTTTGCAGAGTTTTGTTTTTTCATTCCCACTAAAATGGAGATGGAGAAAGTAAAAATAATAACTTTACACAGAATGGAAAACATGTTGTCAGCCAACGTATCTGTTAGGCTTTTTCATATTATTGACTAGCTTAAGACCAGGTTGGTAAGGGGTTTGGTGCCTTGAAACCTGCTGTTTATTTTGTAATACTGTTATTTTAAGCTCAGTAACCCTTCTCCCTATGGAGAGATCAAATCAATACAATGGCAAGCATTTTTGGCAGTTTTTTATCTCCCGTTTCCTGAATTATCTTTATTTTAAACAGGTAGGGCAGCCTGCCTTCATCTCTGTAAGTCAGGTCTCTGTTGAATTGTAAAGGAGGACAGACAGTACTGGTTACAGATTAATAAAATACATGTAATACTATTTTTTCCTAAAAGCCCTGCACTTAACTTTTGACTAGGACAGTCTACTTCCATAATTCTTCCATTTAGATAATTTAAACGGATACTTCCCACCCAAAATAACCTTTCTCATGGCTCTGAGGGTCACTGAAGGTTCTTATCTTTTATCCTACTAATCTAAATTTACTATCATGCTTGATAAGAAATAAAAGGCAGATCATTTTACAGTCTCATCCTGGATAATTGTGACAGTTACAGCCAATACAAAGAGGCAAAGCAACTTCCTCAAGGCCACACAGTAACCATCTCCAGACAAAATTAACAATATTTTATGCATATACAATCAGAGAAGCACTGTGCTTTTAGACCTCAATTGCTATCTATCCATAATGAAGCAGATCAGTTGGATCAGCCATAGTCTGAACTGGCACTCCTGCACATTCCCTATAAATAGAACTTCCCATGAGAAAATTTTTGCAATTATTTCAATTGTGCTGCAAAGTAAAATGTAAGGTAGAAGCCCAAACAGTAAACAGGATTATGATTATCAACGTTCTGTTGTGTCAAATGTCTAAAAAGTAGGGTAGGTTGAAACCAGGTGATTTGAATTAATATGTAACAACCATCTTTTTAACCCCCAAGTAGATATAATGTATCATGTCATAAGCAGCAAAGCAAAAAAAGGAATTAAATCCCCACATTAGTATATCAAAAGACACGACTGGTGGTAAATCAGAGACCTGACACAAACCTGAGGCTCACGTAGAATGGCTATGAAAGCACTTTGATTATGAAATGTCAACTAGGCAGCTGCTGTTTAATGAAAGGGCAAGACAGCAAGGCTTTCTCTGGGCTGTAACATAACCTGAACTTTGTACCTTGCCCTTGTGATTTATTAATTGATTGTATTTTTGGCTGAACCATTACCTACTGCTATGTCTTCTGTCAGCAGTCACCATAGATGAAAGCGTTATGAAGATAAATGTTTCTCCATCTGCTCTGTATGTCTGGCAGTGCTTTCAATGCAGTTTCTTTTACTTTCACTTGTCTGCATGTCACAGCAACACGAGATAAATATCCCCTTAAAAGGTGACTTCTGAAAAAGTGGGATGCCTTAAGTGGTTATCTCCATTTTGTCTATCCAGTGCACACATCGAAGATTTCTCAGACACTAAACTGAATCTTTGCTAATTTTTCTTTCTCTTTGCATACAATGTATTGACTCTCCTATACATTCAGAAAATCGAATTTAAATCATGCCTCAAATAATTTTATATTATTAAGCTGTTTTATCAATAGCCTAATAATGCCATCACGCCCACATTAGGAGACAGAGTTGCAACTGACCAAGTAAATGACAGAAAGAGGAATAATTCTTGGGGACTGTCAAAATCAAGCCTGGTAAGGGTCAGCTTTCACACTGTTAAGCTCTTAATAGAACAATCCATCACACACACAAACAATACCACATTGCTACAAACTGAATGACCCTTGGGGCAGACTTAGTGATAAGTATTGATGCTGCTGGATGCAAAAGGCAATTGTCTGATAAAGTGTGCCCTGCTCTTTAAGTCCTGCCATTTAAGTGCTAAATGTTTTCTGAATCTCAGCGGAAAAAGTAAATTCGATAAACTAAAAGCTTCAAGATAAACCCTATGCACAGAGCAGCTCACTCCAAGAGCTTCATTTGATTGGCAAGAAGTGAGAGACAGCTATAGAAATCCCGCCCCAGTTTTCATCATGTTCTCTAGCCTGTGTTACCCCTGAACCGTTCCTGTGAATCATATGGTGAAATTCTCTTCCAGTAGTACTTGTTCTTCACGTGGCTTCCAGATCAGAATTTTTTTCCACCAAGGTGCCTAT